GCCAGAGGCATTTTATTACACAATTTCTTTATTCATTTATTTACAGGACTACATTCGTTGAGAGCTATGCTACACGATGTATTTATTAAGTCCTTTATTCGAACACTGTATTTACCTTTCTTTGATGATTTATATATGATTTACAGTGTTAACGGCTACCTTGATTTATGTTATATATATATATATATATATATAAAAAGAATCTGAATCTGATGTCAAGTCAGACAAGCCCATATCTAGCTGTTGTTGATGGGTCCACATTTTTACGAAAGAAGGTACTGAACATAATATTTGTTATTTTTTTTAAAACGATAAAAAAAAATCTCAATTTTATATATTTTAACCAGTAATCTATTGTTAGGCCAGAATTTGGGCATTAATTATACAGTAAGCCCTTAGATTCCCTACAATACCAAAGCTGCGCGCCAACCGGCTTTGACCCTTTGCGCCAGCGATTCTAGACCACCACCAGTTGATCCCTATTTCCACACCTTCCAATGGAAATCCTGGATACAGTCCTGCAGGTGAGTGATTTTAGCTCAACTGTCAGCTTTGCTTGTAAACAGCCCATCAAAAAAAAAATCAATATGAACACCACAGTACCTCATGAGGTAGAAACAAAATATTTATCATGTTTTATACAGCTTTAGCCTCTCAAGGCCAAATCAAGATTGTGTGCATACACTTGGGCCAAACAGAGACATTGACTGAGCAATTAAAAATGCTTGTTCTCTTTAATAGCTAATGGTCAATACACGCATACAATGTGCTTAAATGTAATATTCAAAGAAAAAGGACTGGCCAATGAAAATGCGGTACTAGTTATTGAGCTTATTAAATAGAAAATTTCCTTAGAGTGTGCAGTTAGAGTACAGTAAGTGTATTACTTGGAAAAACAGCAACTCAAGGACTTATGCATACTTATGATATACCTACAGTAGCATAAAAGAACTAAGGGAGTTTTCACACTAGCATGATTTATCGTGTATTCAATAAAAAAAATAATTTCATAAATCAAATAAAATAACATCATAATCATGGGAAAACAATAAAGTCATTTATACTACTGTTTTCCAGAGAATACTTAAGGTCTGTGGCCTTAGCTCTATCCAATGAGAGCTCATAGCTCTTACGCCACTGGATATCTAATAATTTTCAATATAATATTAAATTGTTTTATAGTGGTTTTTATAAAATATATTAAACTTAATTTTTTAATTTAGTCTCCTTTAAAAAAAAAAAAAAAAAAAAACTAATAGCAGTCAATTTAAAAAAGGCAAATGTGTAGATAAGAAAATATATGTAGCAAAGACAAGTCAAACCAAATCCTGTTTAGGGGATAATGGCCAAAACATGCTGGAATGTCAACATTTTTTAAATCTATTTTATTGCATTAAACTAACCTTTACATATTTATACATCTATGCTGTTATTTTCCCCATTTTCAATGTTAAAATAACAATTTTTAACAACTTGGTGATGGTTTCTTCTTAAGGAGTGCCCGATATCGTAAACTTTTAAGGCTGATTTCTTAAATATCGTTCTTTAAACAGCTGTTTAAACTCCTGTAATTCATCACAAAATGTTGGATTTAAATAATTCATTTACCATTTTATACCTCTCATTTCGCTGTTTAACACTGTATTAATAACTAAAAAATGGATTTTTGAGACGAGTGACCAGTTTCGCTTGTCTTTGCTGCATATGTTTTTCCAACAAGAAATATCAGCTATAAAAAAATTAGTATCCTCTATAAAAAAAAATCCATGATCACATTGAGAAAGTTTTGTAATATGCAGTCAGAATTAATAAATACATGGCATTCTATGCAATGAATATTGATCACAGCAGAACCACACAATGCAAATAGCAGAAAGATGAGATGTCAACTTGGCTTTTGAAGAAAACCAGCAACATTTTTTCCTTTCACATTTAACAGCAACTACAGAATTTTTAAATTACCAACTATAGGATGGAACTATGTGATTTCAATACCTAATTCACACTACAGAATATGTAATGGTCAATGGTCACATACTTGTATAGCCCCTTCCACAGTAGAAAAACTGTCTCAAGGCGCTTATTAGCCACAATGAAATTAAAATATTAATTAAAGAACAGATGCAAAGGGAAGGAAGGTGCACACCCTGATTTTAAGATGGCGTTGCATCACTACCGTGTACACACAGGTACCTCGGCGTCAGTATGCTGGGCTCTGATAGCTTCAACCGAGGATACGCCTGCAGCTCTAAGTTGGCGGCACCATCTCAAGTACGGAGGTGCGACTTACTAAATATTAATATTAATAGGGATACCCATTCAAATATTTCTCGACTGAGAATCATCGCTTTCACACAACACAACATTGCTAAAAGTCAGTGTATCTGATATGCAGGCAGTCAAAATATGCACAATGCTAAATGTAAGCTGTGTCCCATTACCATGCACACAGATCTTTGCTAAATATCTCGGGGAAATTTACAGCTCTTCTTGAGGTTTTTTTTTCAACAGTTATAGCAGTTTATAACAGAACAGAGTCAGAACTGTTTTGAGGCTTGAGACCATGTAGTCAAGGAATAGCTGTTTTAATTTAATAATAATAATTTTAACAGTAATTTTGCCAATGAAAATCTATAAATAATTTGTCTTAAAATTTTTGTCTCATTTTAACTATGTATTTTCATATTTTAAAATAAATACCTTTCTTTCTATTTTCTGAACAGAGTTGTGTAAAGTACTAATAAATTATATTTGTTGTTATAATTATTATTAATAATAATAATTATAATATAACATATAAATAGTGCACATTAGATTATAAAGCACTGTTTGTGCTAATGAAAATATAGTTGGAAGTATCAGTGCATTGCATAATTAGTCGAAGAAAGAGATGTGGTTTGGGCTTAATTAATAAATTCAAAAGGACAGATTGCAGAATTTGGTAGTTGTTAATGCAGAAATGCATAGCCTTTCTGCGGCACAAGTACAAAGGAATGTATTTTGTTTATTTGGTTGTTTTATACATGAAGAAACATAGAACAGTGTCCTATCCAAGGACAAAAGCAAAAAGCATCATTAACATATTCGGAACTTGGATACCCCTGGCACGAAAATTCAATCCCTTCTACTGTGCTAACTCACCCTACTGTATATTACAATTACAGTATTATTTTACTTACATACAGTAGGTATTATAATCAATGTATTGTAATGTTTGATCAATCACAGTTATAATAACATTGTTTTTTAGCATTTAAGATTAAGAGTAAAGTTATGTGGAAAAAAATTACAATGTACAGTATTGTCCAGATTTTTAATATAAAAAAAAATTGTATTTTCTCATTTAAAATCTATACACCAATGTAATAATAAATGCAAAAGGATGGATTGCAAAATTTTATACTTTGTTAATACCGGTGTTTACGTCTGATGTAGAATTTTGTGATAGAAGTACAAACAAACTTATTTGGCTGATTGGTTGTATATACAGTAATAGGAACAAGAGGAAACATATATTTTATTGGCATCAAGATCAATAAATGAAAATCTAGACGTTAAGTGCAAATTTGTATGGAATTGTTCGTAAAAGCTCAACTGAACATTCTTTATTCATTTGGTTAAACCATCAATCATGTTCACCTGCATTTACATATTATCCTCATTGTTGCATGTATTTCAATTTGATGTAAAGGCATAAAGAAAAACTGTTTAACCCGTAGATGATTTCACATATGGAATCCCAAGCCAAGTTTCTTTTATCATCATCTTGTATATACTACTGAAATTTATGTGACATAGCTGCATATAGATTTGACCTTTGTACTGACATTAGCCTAATGGAACAAGATCGTAACATGAATGGAATGATGATAAATTGATTAGCATTTTTACATTTCCTACAAGTGTTTTCTTTGCCACAAAAATACATGTATCATTGGCAGCAACTAAAAACAGAAAAATACTGCTTTTGCAAAATTTGCAAAAATGGAAATTTGAGATTGAACTTCCTTGCAATTATGAACATTAAATTATCAGATGTATAAATAAATGTGTTCTTATATTCCAAGCATAGATTCTTAAATTGACGGGTAATCAATTAAATTGGATGATGCACTATATAAAAGCTGGCATATTAATAACATGAAGAATTTCATAGTAAAAAAATCAATAAATCATCAACAAATGTACAGTTTTGATCAGTGTAGCATTAAAATTTGATAACATAACGATTTTAAAAGAGCAAATCAATGTTTCAATTAATTAAATTTAGAGGCTCAAAGAGCACCATTATGGTTGGTGAGTAAATTTGCTGTTAATTCGAAAAAATTTTCTAAAAAAAAAAGCACAGTGAGGAAGAAGCTTGATAGAGAAGAAAAGAGATAGAAGCATAAGCATAAGCATAAGCATATAAAAATATAGAAATGTTTGGATAAAAAAATTGTTTATCAAACATTACTGTGTATCATTTATTGTGCCCACACTGATTGGCGTAATATTGGAATTGATGCACACTCAACAAAATGAAACTACAACTGGGGAAAAAAAACAAACAATATAAAAGATGATAAGAAGGGTACCTCAGTTACGGAAGACATGACGGAGGACATGACCTCGGAGTAGCTGTCGTCAAGAGGTGTCATAGACTTCACCTCAGAGTTGGATGTCCGCTTGAGCAAAGGCAAGAAAATTATGTAAGATTAGTTAATTACCCAGACAGAAAGATAATTAATAAACCATTAATCCCACACACACATAAAACCACCATTAATAGGAATATTAAAAGATTGTTAGTTGTGTGTGAGTTAAATTGGTACAAGTGCTCTACTGTTTGTTGCTGACGCAAGTTCACAAGTTTATAAACATGTACAAATGCGTTCATTTTTATTAGTTTTATACAAATTACAAACAATAAATACCCAACAAAATCGTCAAATTGCAGAGAAAAAAAACCCTATAAATTGTACACTGGTGAAACAGCATATTAAAACTAGCAATTTCAATATTAGTTTGCAAAATTCAACTTGTTTCAAATTTCAGTTCAAAATGTGACATACATACATAACCATATAAAATCGATATCAGAAACACCATGTTAAAATCAAACTATCATTAGTGAATTATTGCATATCAGCTATAGTATAAAATAAAACATGGGTATTCAGTTCTCACATGTATTTATTCAGCATTGAAAAAAATATGCATTTTATTACAGTATATACACATTGGCTTTGGTTAGTATATGAATGACCAATGTATATATATTATATACATTTGCTTTGGTTAGTATATGAATGGCCAATGTATATATATTATATACATTTGCTTTGGTTAGTATATGAATGGCCAATGTAATGTAAGCCCCCAAAAAATTGTATTGCTCAAGCGAAGTGACATTTGAAGATTAGGATTACAGTAAATGACAATTATTTTTATATTTTGTCAAGGCTCTGGGTGAATTCTATAGTTCTAGCCTACTACTACTGTAACCTCATGCATAGTAAATGTTAGGAAAGTAGGTAGAACATAAGGTAGTCGAACCTGCACAGATCCAGAGTGCCCATGCCTCTTTCTTAGCGTTTGGGCCATGCTGTGCAATGCTGTGAGGGATTGCACTCCTCCTCCTTAGGTAGAGAGACAAACACAAAGTGTCTTGTCCAAAGACACAAGCCACTTGTACAGCAATAACTTTGAGTCCGAGCCACATGCGCTAAACGCTTCCACACACGAAAGTATTCCATTTAAACATTTAGAATTTTGGCCTCCTTGAGACAATAGATTTTGATGTCAAACAAAATTTGGACACTGTCTAATTTTAGTAAATTTGGTTAATTTAGTCACTTATCCTAATGGACTAACTTTTATTATTTTATTTCATCCCATTTATTCAGTCATGCATTATAGTGAACTAACAATATTCATCAATATCCAGATATTTATTTACTATTTTCTCATGTGCGAAAATCTAAATTGCTAATTTGGTAGAGCATCCAAATAGTAATCGAAAGGTCTTGGATTCGAATCCTGAAAGGGACATAACTGTTTTTTATAAAATATTTATTATTCTCTTTCATTATATCCAGTTGAGATGTTTCTCCATACCAAAATTATTCCATGAGAAGATTATTGAGTGCTGTGTATCTCAGGGTCCAAGGTTTTGTTCTTTTTCTTTTCATTCATTATGTTATGGTTCTGCAAAACTAAATATCAAGCTGCAAACTCTTGTTTTATTTTATCTACCAATTGATTGATTTCTGTATATACTATGCAGTTTTTAAGAGGCAGTTAAAGTAAGGAACAAAATTGTTACCAACAGTAACTTTAGGCCTCATTTCTGTTTTAATTGAATCAATTAACGATCAAGAGAATGAACTGGAGTAGCATCCAGGTTGTTTTTTGGTATTGCGGGTGTTTGATTACTCTTTGTTCATTATGCGCCATAAACATAGAACTAAGGAAAAATTTGACAGTTTCATGAGTAAGTCTGCGATTCACGGACCTAGTGACATGAATAACGGACGACATTCTGACTGCAGAAAACCATCAGCCTTGTCACATGATCACATTATGAAGTCAAGGGTCGCCACATTTACCACTAACTACTTGCCATTCTGCCATATCAGAAAGTGTGATGTGATTTTCAATTGAAGAGTATACAGATATTTATATCGTTAGTAAACACAGCAGTATTTTTGATTCCATACCAATTAGCAATAGAGTTTTAAGAGTGTTCTAATTCATTCCATCATCCATAATCAAAGCAAAACCACAGGAACTTTTATTATATAATTGATAATATAATAATAATCAAAATGGGGAAGCATATAGTTGTAATACAGTGTATATATAATAAATTGGCAGAATTGAATACATGATGACCAAAATTAAGGATTTTAAAAGAAAAAAATCTATATGGTAAATCCAGCCTACAATGGCATGATGGCGTTCTTGCACGACAAATGTTGTCACCTGTAGACATCTGTCTCATATCATTCTCATTTTTTTAAATAAAATCCAATGCAATTTTACTAATCTAACATTTAAATATTTTTTGTCTAGTCCAAATTAATCAATTAAGACAATTGTAGTCATGCTTGTAGACAAAAGATTCTAAAATTTAACCTTTTCACACCTTTAAAGAAAATGAATCTATAACTACCGTATATAAACAGGGGAGCAAGGGGCATGGCTGCAATTTTGCAATCAATTTTAAGTAATGACGACATTGGCAATTTTAAATATCAAAACAGTAGTGGGTGAAATTTCCCATGAGCCCTCTGTATCCATCACTGAAGGCCATTAAGATAATGTTAATGAGGTACTACACATCCATGATACAAACCTATACTATAAACGCAGCAGAATCTAGATATACCGGTAGGCATCGGCATTTTGTTTATGTAGAAGGATATGTTCCAGATGAAACCTGTGACAATCAGCATAAATTTGGAACTAATATCCATGAAACCAGGTGCATTTGTGAACGCATAAAATGTAACAAACGTGAACACACTGTTTAGTAATGAGCTGCACTTCAAATGGCAATGGCACTATGTAGATTAGCGATGCATTCAATAGCTATTGTGCTACTCACGTCCAAACATTATATGGATAAACTCTACATTCCTGTATTGTATATTTCATATACATTTATGGGCATTGCATCAAACATGAGATGTCCTCTATCTCATACAATGTACACACACAATAATATTAATAATAATAATAATAAAATTAATTAATAAATCAAGTCTAAAAAATAATAAAAAATAATATGTTATTCCTTTTGTAAATTAAATCCCCAATTCAGCCACTGGCTGCTATGGATTAGATATTGTTGATATCTTGTTTATTTTTGTGAATAAAAGATACCGAAATTTACATTTTATGTACATTAAGAATGTGTATTTTTTATAAAATCCAATAATTAATCTGAATTATTATGATGATGTTATTTATTTTTAGGTAAAAAAATTAAAATAAATATAAAAAACTATATATTGTAATGCTAATAATACAATTACTTTATACTGATGTTACTCCAATAAATTGTTTTAAAATAACAGAAATATAAGTAATAAAAATAATGAGAAAAAAAATATTTTAAAATAATTGTATGTATTACTAATAATATATAACAGTAATAGTTGTGAGCACCACTGTAAATAATAACATTAATCAAAACCATCTTATCTACTAATCATGGATAATAAAACTAATAATAATAATTAATAAGAAAAATAATATCACTTAATTCTTTAATATGCCATGCATGTGTTAGTTTCTTCATTCAAATTTGATTGGCAGATGTTAATAAAAAAACAAACATAACAATACACCCACAACAATCAAGTGCAAAATATAAATACCCTCACATTACAATACAAATAAAACCGTTATTATTTAAAAACAAACCATATAAACATGAGAAATACCTCATCAGATTCAGAATCTGAAAACTCCTGCATGTAGAATTTCAAAAGAATGAAAGAAAATAAAGAAACTAGATGATTAAAAAAATTTATAATAGTAAGTTAAAAACTACGCTAAAAAATAATATAAATGAAAAGGATATGAAAGAAAATATAGAATCAGAATAGATGGATTCGGCGATGGCCGTCACATGACCTAACTTGGGTGTTAGATATAAACAATCGACTGACACAGCGGTGTTTACATGGAGATTGTTATTACAGCCGTCCCTTGCATTAATGTAAAGATCATCATAAGTCCTAGTAAACTATACCAAATTAATTGGAAATTGATTGAGAATTTTGCCTTCATGGTTTGCTAATGCTGTAAAGGATACTGGCAGCAAACATTAAGATTTTCCGACAAATGTTAGGCCTTGGCCCCTGCATATCCACAGCATGGTTAGTTATGCATGTTGGTCTTTGACCCAAGAACTACGCTGCGATGTTAGGGCTAGCTATGGTTTATGAAGGATCACTGAAATTTCAAAGCATACAATCCTTGGAAAATGCTAGGATAAGCAACTATTTTGAACAATTTCCTAGCCATTTGTTTTTCGCCTCAACACTTAACAGTGGGTGGTTGTTTTCACAACCACAACATTATCTTTACCTATACTAACGCACTGTAATGTTTTTCATGTAAAAGTCATGTGACCGGTTGTCAACAAAAATCGCCGAATCCGTCTATTTTTTAACAATAAATTAGTCAAGCATAAACAAACTGTGAAAATAACAATAAAATAAACACAATGAATGAAAATAACTGAAGAAATGAAGCTCATAATAAATTTATGCTAAATATTAATTTTAAAAAAGGATAAAAATAATAAAATAATGCAACATAAATTTTAAGTCCTTTCTGAAAGCTAAACTAGTTGTAGACTAGTAATTCATTATTGTTGAGTTATCAATCTGTGACTGATCACCTTCATTTTGATTTAATTTTTCAATATCTCAAATTAAGTATCACTTCCTTGATTAAAAAGACAACCAAAACACTTTAAATGAATATAGTACAAAGTATATAGGGATTATAACAACAAAATGTTGATGGAAAGGGATGAATATTGATAAAGTTCAAATACTCATTTGATAGCCAACTAAAGAATATCAACAGCTTTGGAATAACAAATTCAACACATGATAGGAAACTTAACAACAATAACAATAAAAATAACAGTATTAATAAAATATTAACAATAATAATAATAATAATGTCAAAAATATATTATTATATACTATTATTCATAATTTTGAAAAATATATATATATACATTTAAAGTAAAGTACTATATTTTTATTCCAAACTTCCAATTACAATAAGAATTAATCAAAATAATAATACTGTAATACATTACCAATAATTATAATATAATAATATTATAACAACAGCATCAAGAACAACAGTAGTAACAACAATAATAACAGAATCAATAAAAAATATTGATTATTAACACTGCATATATTTACAGTGTTCTGTATTGTAATATTTTATGTATTTTAATATACTTTTGTAATGTAGTATGAATTTAAATGGCGAATGCAAAACAAAGTTAAAATTAAATATTTATAATAGGAATTACTTGTTGTACACTTTGATATAGCTAGTATCTGAAATTATATTTTATGCCTATCAGTGTTTGTGTTCATAAAGAATAGCTTACCTTGGGATTTAAATGTTAAAATAACTGCCAACCAATTTATATATTAGACAGACATATGCAAGAAAACGATGTGCGTTATATATGATCTCTTAATCAAATTACCTGACTGGTCAGTCTGCTTTTAAGCAATCAAAAAGGAACTAGCAACTGTACATACATAAATTTTACACGAGTGACCAAATGTAATTTTAAATTACATCTTCTTGTTTTCCTCGAGAAGTTTGAAATTCAAGAAGTGAGGAACATTCTAGATTGATGAGTTTGGAAGTAGCTTTTAATTCAGACAAGCTGAACAAAATTTAAAAATAAATCAAAGGAAAAAAAAAATTACAATAACAACATTTTATTGCTTTAATAAATAAAGAAATAATATTAAGCTTACGTCATGGATGATGATGAACTGGGGAGATTCAGGTGTCTCAGAGGATTTCTCAGAAACAGATCGATCAACTGACATTACGTCTGGTGATGACGGAGCAACCTTTTTGGATGCATCATCTTCGTTTTCTAGTCCCTCTATTGTAGCTTCTTTTACTTCTTCAACCTCCTAAAAACAATATCAAGAAATGCCAAATGAATACTTGCTGTTGCATATAAAGGACAGTCTTGAAAAAGTAGTAGTAGTCTTAAAACCAATATAAACAAATATATTGTACAATAAATTTTGGATAGTAATGAATATCCAGTTGGTAGTTTGATGAAGAATACAGGTACAGACCTAGGTATAGTTATAGGGCAGTGATGAAATAAGTAGACAATTTGGGTTAATCCCTATAAGTCATAATAATGGTATACAGCACAGTTGGGAAAAGTGCGACCCGACAGTATTTTTTTTGTGGCCTGCGAAAACGAATTGAAACCCTGTGTGTGCAGCCCGCCAACCATCTTTAGCTAAAAAACACCTTGTTTTTTACGGCCCAACACCGATCATCTAAAAAGTAAAATTAAAACTGAGAATAAAGTGGCATAAAAGCAGTTCATGAAGGCTATTGGAAACACACTGGCACCATCAAAATTTGGATGCGGCCCTCAGTGTTAAATAAAAAAATTCACTTTGGCCCTCTGTTTTTAAGCCCATCCCTGGTATAAAATATAGTTCTATTCCTGTTGCGTAGGTAAAGATTAAACATTTACTAATTTTTTTTGTATAGAATTTGCCTGATGCAATGCAAAAAAAGCCACTCAAGCAAGAGGATATATATGTAAGCCAGAAAAAACAGAAATAATTGTTTCTAAACAGCAGCATATAAGGTAGCTCAGAAATAATCATATTAGAGTTAAATAAGCTTTATCCATTTCTATATGGATTTACCTTGATTAATAGGTGTAATTTTTCCCAAACTGATGTGAAAATTTACTGAATACTTAGTACATGTGATAACACTTGCAAAAAAAAATCACAAGTTGTTCACGGGTGGAACTCAAACCCACGATCTCCAGATCACTAGCCTTTATTATTATCAATTTGGGTTAATCTCTAAAAGTTATAATAATATTACAGTACAGTAACAATATTTCTGTTGGCTAAAAATTCAACATTTAGTTAGTAAGTAAGCCAGCAATTACAGAAATAATGTTTCAAAATAAAAGCATAAAAGGTACTCAGAAACAATCATACTAGATAGAGTCAAATAAGATTTATAAATTTGTATGGATTTATCTTTATTTATATTATATCAGGTATCCAAAAGTAGGTCGATGCATTGAGCATTATTTTTGTCTCACTATGAAGGTCACATATTTTGAGCAATACAGCAGCTTTATGGATTCAATGTTACTGTAGTATTAGTATTTTCGAGTTCAGATTTTATATCAGTTCGAAACAAAATGTGATGAATAAGTTTTTAACATGAAGCACTGATGGGGTAAATCTATCCCCCTGCAGACAATATCCTGGTATTTCTAAGTCTACGTTTTAAAGTTAAATCTTTAATAATGATAAAACTTATTTAAACCCCATTATCATTAGGCGCGATTTACAAATTATCCCCAAAGACAGAAACAGGTCGAACACGTTTGCTATTGTTATATGACAAGCTCTCCAAACGCGTCTGCAAAATGCCGTTTGGAAGCTTGCCGTTCGAGCCGTTTATTCTGTTTGGAAGTTGACTCCTCCCCATTTCATATGGCTGACTGCTCGTGAATGGTAGATGTTAAACGCGTTCAGTGGAATATGGATCCGATCATGATTTATACAACTTTAAAACGTGTTGAACCACGTAGGCTATAGGCCTAGGCCTACAGTATATATTAGTAGCCTATTAAAGTGCTAGGCCTAGGCCAGATGACAGATCACAAAGAAATGGTTATAAGGCCCTATAATATATTTACTTTACTTGATTGGGAAACCCCAATGTCTCATATTTTTTTAGTATGCCCTACCGTACCTCTAGGTTTTATAGAAGAAAAAGCAATCACCAGTCACCTTCCCACCCAGATTTCATTGTGTGATGTTTGAGTACCCCATTCCATGTCTGCACAGCTGCACAAAAATGGAGTATGTAAACACTGACCTGGATCAGCCCCAGTTGATCTGAAAAGTTTGTTGATGTTTGATCATGTGGTCATATTATCTCGCTTTAGCACATGTTTACAGAGTACAACTGTAGGCCATGTCATTATTTGTATGGATGGTTCAACCTCATTAAAATGGTTAAAACATCCACAAATGGTATTTTAGTGTTTCACTTTTAATATGTCAATGTTTTGTTTCAAATGTTTATTTTACATGTATGGTATTTTGTGAATGCATCACTCCATTCATTTCTTGCCAACGATGTCACGTTTGAGCCTAGACTTAGAAAGACCGGGATGGTATCCGGCGGGGGATAGTTTTTGTATACCATGTATTCCAAGCGGCCTGTAGGCCTATATGTATACACTATATATTTTTCCAATGTCGTATAGATAAATAAATTGTCAGAATGAAAGAATTGATTATTACTGTTTTCTATACACCACATGTTGTTTGTGTCCCTGAAGGATTAGCATATAATTTATTATTGAAATACAGCGGTACACATTCAGTTGTATGTTTTATTTTATGTTTCAACATTAACATAATAAAACTCAGTATTATTATTATTTAACACATAAACAGCTTCTCCACATAATATAACAGTAGGCCTAAAGAATAAAAAATATACAAAATACAAAACAAAATTTAAACCTACAAGACTAAAAAACAAGACTAAAAAATGAAACTATACAGAAGAGATAGGTAAGCAGACAAGGCCTATCTATACTTAATTTTAAATTAAACTGGCATCCACTCCATCGAACGTCTTACTGTTAGCATCTGAACTGACCTACTTTTGTCTGGAGCAGCGCACAAAGTGAATTTGTCACGTGTGACCTTGCATACTTTGCACTGATCACATCCACACACGAGGTACCCAATATTGTACAGTAGTTGCCTAGGCCTAGATGCTGAATATATATTATGCCATGGTTTAATCATAGAGAAAATAGATTTTATAATTTCTTTGTGGTTTAATAAATGTCAGGCAAATGCTGGCATCCAACTGTGTTCCCATGTGATGTATGTGTGCAAGGAGTTGAGTGTAGAGATAATTTCTGAGTTCGTCGTCAGCTCCTCAGTTAGGCTGGTAATGAAGACAGGTCTGTTCGACGGACAAAGCGGCAATAATGTGCTGTCGTCGTCATTTACCTCTTAACTTAGGGCCTGCTAACACTAGGATTATGCAGTGTTTAATCTTTGTACAGTATACTTGGCTCATTTCAAAGTAAAACTTTGTTCAGTATTTTAAATTGTACATAAGAAAACACTAGTTCAACCGGGGCTTGGTCTAACGACACAGATGCTTTTGTCATCGAAAACAATAGAAACAATGGCACAACCCCGTGTCGGACGCGTCTCCAAAATATTGGCTTAGCTTATTAATATTCATGAGGCACGATAATTAGATGATCGCTTTCCTAGATGCATTTGTAATACACAGTTTTTCCAAATCCGTTTCCGTCGTTGGGGATAATTTGTAGATTGCGCCTTATCAGATATCAGACTGCATTGTTTTTCCAGCAATGTGTTTATTTGCATAAAATCAATTGAAGATGTTAACTTCTTTCAAAATGTTGTCGGTGCCTTACGTATGTTTTCAATTGCATTTTAATGCAGATGTAATGAGGTTTCTTTAAATTGTTTTTTTCTAATTCGAAAATGTTTTTCTCATTCTGTTCTGGAGCCTAATTTAGCTCCATGTGCTTGAGAGAGGTTTAATCGATGAGAGTCCCACACCAAATATGAAAATTAATAATAATAATAATAATAATAATAATAAAATCTTTATTTACACACGGAAGCTTGTATCACCCAACCAGTGTTTTTCAACAAGGCAGTGATGCCATTATAACAATTATGGTTGTTCTATTACTCTATATGCACTTTAAAATCTTTATCATTTGGAGCTTTTATTTACGCCACAGGTGGGCAAAGTACGGCCCGCGGGCCGCAGTGATTTATATTTTGCGGCCCACAAAAATGAATTAAAAACCTTATGTGTGAGGCCCGCCAAACATCCCTGGAAAGAAAACACTTGGATTGGTCATATGTAAAAAGTAATATCAAAACTGAGAATGGTATAAAACAGTGCATGAGGGTTTTGGGAAGCACACAGGAAACATCAAAGTTAGCGTGCAGGCATCGGCGTTAAATCAAAAATTTACTTTGGCCCTTTAGAACAATTTTTATGAATTAAGCCCTATATGACAAAAGCATGTGACATGCCTGATATCACATCATGACCATATATACACACATCGTGACTATATATGGGCATACAACAGTTTTTTGTTCAAGAAAATTTTACTGGGCAACATCTAGTCATGTGATTAGGTTTTGATGAATAATTATCCATCTGTTTTCTTTGTGCCCACTAGTAAAAAATGAATGTACAATTTTTTTTTAACATACTACCTTTGCAGATAAAGCAATTTCTTTCTCTTCAGGCTCATCCGTAATTTTGTCTTGCTCAGAAGGCATCTTCTTTTTGCTCTTTGTCTTCTTCTCAACTTTTTTCTTTTCTTTCTTGACAACTTTTTTTGTTTTTGTTTTTTTGGGAATTGGTTCTTCTGGCTTCTTTTGTTCCTTTGGTTTTCCTACAAAGCAGATTAAATTCATAGTGAACAGTTGTTTAAAATTATAAAAGAAAAAAAAATATCATGGTGGCTCAAATTATAAAATGGGGAGGGCACTCAAGTAAGGGTTAAAAAGGTGATATAACTAAACTGTTACCATCAGTTTATTAAAATAAAATTATATAATATTTGACTAGGGACATCTTTGCTATAAGGAGGTATCTTTGCTTGGACCAAGTTTGATAAAAGCTCAACACATGGAAACATGGAAAGGAAACTGTGCACAAAAAAAAAAAAATTAAAAAGATAAAATGGAATACAGGATAAAAGAAAATCAGAACAAAACAAAAGCCTTCCTGAAATAGTAGGAAAAGCTAAAATTAAAAGCAAAAAAACAATGCAGAAATGTTGCAGCATCATATTATGGCAATGAGTAAAAGCCTGGTTACAAACAGGCATCACATATTCAGGATAAATATCTGTATGTAAAATGTGCACACTTGTGTTAAATGTCAATGCAATTTAGGCCACAGTTGTCTTGAAATGAATAATAAATGGTCACCTCAGGGTATGAGTATTAGTAATGATAGCCTTTGGGCCATCTAGATTGATTTGCAAAGTGTTCTTTTGATTTTAAATCTGGCGATTAATAACATAATGGCTGTATTTGACTGGTCGTTCTTCATTAAACCACGCCCACCTGCGCAGTGGTAAAAACCAACTTATAACGAAGACGACCAGTCGAATAGAAAACTGGTAAATACCTGACACAACAAAATGGCTTTTGAATTCTTTTAGAATACAATTATTTTTTGACTTCAACGTGGGTATATATTAAAATTTTTATTTTCTGAAATTTAATCTAAATTATATTAATGCAAATGTTATTGTTAAACTGACCAATCAGCCATTTTTTTTTTTGGTCACGTGCAGCATAACTTAACACGCATTCTGGTTAAGTTAATTTTTGCTGTCAACGAAGTCTATTTTACGAACCAGTCGAATGAAAATAATACTCAACAAAAATTCATACTCAACGAAATGAATCAGTCGAATAAGCTCAATATGTTAGTGATGCATGAATGATTGCTATGGTCATATAAATGTATATTTTTAAAATTGTAATTCGTATTTAAAGTTATCAAGGTTAAATAAAAAAAAGTCTATGCTGCTCATGTTAAAAGGTATGTGAAGGTAGGAGAATTACAGCATCATTGTGCTGAATAGACAGATTTCATGATGGGAGTCATGTGATCTACTGTGGGTAAACAAACCAGAGGGTTTTACAGAAGTATGGTGATTGCGACTTGCTTCTGCTCTAAGGCACATAGCTGATGATGAATAATGTTTGTTGGAACACCACTAAGCTATACCAAATTGAGAATGTTGTTACAATAGTTTTCTAATGCTCCAAATGACACAGGCTCCAAATATTGAGAATTTTTCGAGAAATGTCAGACATAGGCCGTTACATATTTGAGGGCAGTTTAGGTATGCACGGAGTCGACAATCTGCGAAGTGCGAGTGGGAAATGCTACAGTTTCTAGGCTACTCAAGGTTTACAAAGAATTATGTAAATTCCAAAGCTTAAAATGCACAGTGAACGCTAGAATATACACTATTTTGAACAATCGTATTGCCATTGCTTGCTATTTATTTCTCACTTTAAGAGGGGGCGGTTGTTACTACTATTCATAACAATACCGTTTCCTATACGTTTACACTGAAGTGTAAGTTATACCCTCAAGTCACATGTAATAGCTATGCATCAAGAATTCAGTCCATTGTGTATGGGTATTGTTCGTGACAACCTAGCCATCTAAAAGAGGGCTTAGTAGCTTCATGCTAAAATAATCCCTTACCATTTGGCTGCTTGACTTTCCAGAAATCCAAAAATTAGGCCTAAAGTTAGGTTACAATGAAACATCTAGGTCAAGGCCAAACCTTGCACAAATATTTCTTGCAAAGGATACTGGCATACTTGGGAGTTGGTTTCGCCAAAGTTAACACAAATGGTAAAAGGAGGTATTACTCAAAAATAGATGAGAGAAGATAAAAAGCATGTACATCTGATTTCACCATATATGGGCATGATGATATAATGAACTTGTAAATTGTAGTTCCCCATCCCAGGACCCAGGACCAGCAGGGACTTTCACGGGGATGTACATTTCAAAACAGTAAAATTCATGTGCAAGCTCCCAGCAGTCTATATAAATCCCCAGCTAATTCTCCACCAACGCGAACAGAGATATGTTTTGTAGTCCCCGGTAACAAAGAAGCCCTCGTAAATCCCTGACCATGCGTTTTTCGGATGTAAGCATTTCAAGTTCTAGCCTAGGCAGTAAACTATTTCAATGGACGTCTGGATTGGAGAAAATATGTAATGTTTGCAGACATACAGTAGTACAAGCAACCTCGGCAACATAGGCCTATTCCTGCCTCTTTGCAGACCAAATTACATCCCCAGGTTAGTAAATGATACTTCCCGGGTCTACGGGAACACAAACATCTGTACATCCCAGGCCTTGTCCCAGTCTCTGCTATGATCAAATCACAAATGACAAGTACATAATACACCCATAAATAGACAAATCACTGGTATGTCACATAAAAATTTGAAGTATGAACGGAGCTATTTCAATACCTACCGACAATGAATCGTTCCCTTTCATCTAATTGTTCATTTTGGTCACTTTTTACTGATGGTGGACTTTTAGGTCTTTGTTTCTTTGTCTTTTTCTGCTTTTGAGTTTTTTTGTCCTTCTCAAGCAACCCTAAAGGGAAAAGAAATAGATTAACAAAAATCTTGGTATTTAATCAAATTTGGTCTTTTTTTATGATTATGATAAAGTAAAAATTATATCACCAATTTTAGAACATTTGAGTCAATCCTTATTCATATCTGCCACATCATATCTACATATATTATGAGAATCTTTATAAATTTATATTCATCCATAGTTAAAAAAAAACCGATATAATATTAAACATGTAGTACTACCAGTGTGAAATTCAGACTGAGTAAATCATGATATTAAAACACACAAAGTCCAAAGACTTGTTTAAAGTGTGGTCCTTTTGTGGTAAATTATGCAGAACACCAGGTCACAAGCCCCTACTTTTCCTAAAAAGTGCACTACATTTGTTAACATACACATACAGGATCAATGGGGCTAACTTCTTAACCGAAAGGTGGTATGCGATTGTAACTTATATTTCAGACCTGCAGCTCAAACATAAGAATTGAACCAGGAACCATCAGAAAGTATTTCCATGGTTTAGTGAACACAAAGTAGGTACTACCAGTTTAGTTTAGTTTACTGTGCTAAGCTGCTCTAAAAATAATGCAACTGTCAACAAATTTGCCAAAAATACAGAAAAATTGTCAAGACAAATACCTTTTGTATTGTTAGCATGAGCAAGACAATTTAAAAAAAAAATCATTTTCATATACAGTATGCCAACATAGTGTGAACATACTGTACAGCGCTATGTTATCTCTGGCTGTGACAGTTTAATGCTACAGTAGTTGCAAGAACAGCCGTCAGTTACTAGTCTATGAGCACCAAACATTTTCTTGTGTTAAAGATACTATTTCATAAATTTTTGGCACTTCGCAACATCTGTTGCATCAGATTTATTTTGACCAAGAACTTCTTACGTTCTCCTGAAAATTTAGACATGCAATGGTCATACCTTTTTTTGCTTCATGGCTTGTAAAGTTGTTTTTTCGATTCTGTTTAGCAATACACAATTTGAATCTGACATAGACCATGCCCACAATAAAAGTAAAAATTCACTAACCTGTCTCTTTGACAATTTTATCGATAGCTTCCTGAAATTCCTTGGTGTCATCATCAACTTCATTTACACTTGCACTTTTACGCTCCTCCTTCACAACTGTATTCACCTTTGGTTCTTCCTTCTTATTAGCCCGGTAACTTGTCACATCAAATTCCAAGGATGTTGCTTGTGTACTTGTCTTTTCTGACACTAAACTTCGTGTGGATGCCGAATGCTTTGCAGCTACATTCCTAGTAGATTTCACTGTAGCGGTATCACCCGAACCATTAACGACATGATCTTCTTTATCTGCCAAAGTATTGTAAGAACATTGATGGCAATCAAATGTTAATTTTATTATATCCAAAACTATCTCACATGTGAAGGTTATTTACAGGTCAACTTATTTACCTCTGATTTTCAATACGAATGATAACTCTCTTCTCTAGGTTTTCTGAGGTTTCCATAGAGTTAGACATAGAAAAACAAGAGTGTCACTCTGTAATCAGCGTACATAATTATACTGTGCTGAATTTATACACTAAAATTCTTCACGTCATGGTACATGCACAGATATTGGTCAGGTAGGTACTCTTTCAAAAGAGTTCTAAAATTTTCATAGCATCTATGTCAGTATACTGTAGCTATTTGGCTGAATGCCCTCTCTGTATTTTTTATTCATAACTTTAATTGGTTTTTACAAAAACAACTGAACAAAACTATATTGATAACAGGTAGAATTACTAATTCTAAATTTTGTGGAGACAACAGTAGAAACAATGACTCGAAAATTGAACGGTTAATAAAGACTCGGGTACCTTACAAGTAGCAATGTTCGTACTCGCACTCAAGTAACCTACAAACAGCAATTTGAATTGTTATTTGTAAAGTAATTGAGTGAGTACGAACATAAATCATGTTTACGTTGAGTTAAAAAACGAAACATAAAATTACAATGCGAATCACATGAAAAGTTTTCCAATAAACTTTAGTATAAGACAAAAATGTTTGAATAAACCAGATGCTGTAATCAATGTATAAATAAAAAAACTGACAAATTTACATAAAACAATAACATTTCTATCATAGGTGCATTCTTTATATCAAAGTGACTTAAAACTACAAATAAATTTATTCTTTAAAAGTAAAATGCTAGATTAAACACAATGAAGATGTTACTACAAACCATTACATTGTTAAAATGTGCTGAACATTGCCTATCTAACTTGTTAGAAATGGGTAATATTTACTTGGTTAATTATAAAAAAAGATCTCTGTGGCCCATATTCAAGACGTGCTTATTAACTGACTTAAGGTATGCACAATGTGACTGGAATATTAGATTTGAAAACATTTTGTGACTTGGAAGTTTTTAATTACAGAAAAAGAAAACGAGAATTAAAAATAGAATAATTGAAGAGGCAGTTTAACTATAACATTATAATATAGAGCTCAAACAAATTTGCTTGCAGTTGTGCAGTGGTGATAGTAGATGGTCACCACTGTATAAAAACAATATAAAATGTGAAAAAAGTACCAATGAAATCATTACCAAAAAATTAGTAAAGAAAAAACAATTGATGTTATTTGTGAATGTGCCAACGTTATCAGTAACGCAGTAACAATGTGAGAAAACTTCATTCCAGACGATACTTGTATGGTAATTGGCGCAATAAACTCACTTTCTTCATTCTTGTTCAGATCAACATTCATTTTGTTATTAGGTTTTCCATAATTTTTCTCAGGTTCATTTACCGCTGATTTTACCTCTGATTTTGCATTGTACTCTGTGCTGCCCTCTTTTGAATTTTCTGTGTTTTCGACAGGTATGCCAACATTGGCTCTGTCTGTAACTATGGATAGCACACTGTCACCAGCTGAGTTATCATTGGATAAATCCTTATGAGAAGGCACAGGATTGCACAAGCTATGGGGCATCCTACTGCCAATAGGGCTTTCATCTTCACAATCATTGGCAATAGAGGGTGCTCTTGAGGAAATGATGTATACTCCAGATGCAACATCCTCTGAGACATAGATGTCGTCTGCTGCCAGAGACTTATTGTCCCTAATGAGATGGACTAGTTCAGGTGTTGTCTGAATTCTATCATTGGTGTCAGCTACCTCTGTAAACATAGATTTCTTATCGTGATAAAGATAGTCACAGTACCAGTTTGTTCCTTGATCAATTACAATTAGAACCACACTGTCTAGACTAGTTGCAGTTGGCGATTTATGTGAGTTTGGAGTAATCAATCTTTCCTCCAGATACAGAAGAAGAGGTTTCATGTTTTTGAAAGCACATTTTAAATTAAAATCTAATGTAAAATCTTCACATTGTTACCTTGGTAAACACTCAGCTAATTGTAACATAGTTGGGACTCAATCCATTATTACAGTTATCCATTATTTTTGTATCTTTCAGGTAAGAAAATAAATTATTAAATAAATAGATGAATAAATATCTACATTTTGTCTCTTCTCACCCAGGAGTGAGATTTATCAATCAATTTCTTAGCTTTAAAATTAACTTGACACTGTATACATTGAAGCATGTATAAAAGAAATCTTGAGTTCAGCAAGTTTCAACTTATCAACTTATTGCAACAGCTACAATGATTTAAAAGTCACGCACATATGTACACGTCACACACGTATATCAGTAAAGTAAGTACGCAATTTCTTGTTAGCAAAAATTATTTCAGAAATGCATGAAATAACATTAAAAACAATAATGTTTAAAAAAAAAGATCTTTCGTATAAATCTTACATTGCATTGAAAATTAGTCAAAATAATTTCTGTTTACTTTTAGGGTTTACTTTTCAGTGCAGTGATCTGTTGTCATGTTTAGAATGTGAGAATTGAATTTTAATTAATCAAAGTTTTGGGTCATTTCAGGGGCGGATCCAGAAATGTCCTGGGGGCGAGCACAACAAGCACACTCCGAGTAGTAAATCACTCCTCGGAAAAGGACCAGTTGAATACGCCTTAAGAGATCTATTAAAATGAGCCTTGTTCACACATCTAATTATTTATTTTGCTGCACATGGTGATCCCTATTCAAACTATCTTCTGGGAAAGAATTGATAATAATACAGAGTAAAAACATCAAATTATCATTAATTTATAATACCATTAATTTTACGTAAGGTGGGTTATTTTTCCATTAGATCTTGCTCTTGGAAATGTGACAGGCCATCTGGACTCTCACGACTCTTGTGAGTCATGGGAGCATGTACAATGGTCCCTATTGTGGGAGAAATTGGCATAATGGTTGTAAATCAGATCTTAGAGTATCAGTAAGGACAGGCACCAGAAACCTGGACTGGCAATTCATTTACGTCCTTGGCCAAGCAATTCGGTTCCTTCAACCCAGAAGTATAGGTGTGTATCTGGTAGGATGTGAGTTTTCAGGTAGAGTTACTCTGATTTTTTTAGTACTACATGCAAAAACATACTATAAAAATAATCAATAATCTGAGTTTCTGCATATTACTATATATGCAAAATAATGTAAACTCTGACTTTTAGTTTTTGTGCATTTATTCAAAAAATATTTTTCAAGATGAAAAAAAATATGCCTTAAAATATGCAAACTCTGAAATTTCTGCACTTCTAAACTATGTTACTACATACTGTACTACCTCAAACGTTTGAATGCTATGCTGGATATTCATGCATGACTGGAATATGTAAGTTCCCAGGGAGCAAGAAGTTGCACATCTTATGACTGTTAGTATATTTGAAAATACAAACACATTGTGGGAAAATAAGTGTATCTGTGATCATTAAGTTCTAATATTGTGTGCACACCATAATATATTCTAACATGTTTCAGTGTATTTCATTGTTCACTTGGTTGATCAATGACAATGAAATAATTCTTGATTCTTGATTTTTTAAATGAGGTTCGGGAACACGACAGAGTGGCGATAGATGGAAGACCCTCTAAGATCTTGTGCTTGTTTTGCCTGTTCTCTGTAGTTAAGTTGATAATTAATGTATATTTAAGTATTTTTTAAACAAAAATTAAAAAAAAGAAATAAATAAAAAGAAAATTTATAGAAAATGAATTAACCTTTATAAATACAATAAATGAAATGCAGAAAAGGCTGTTTCTCTTTGCAAGTGGAAATGGTGCTGCAAGCAGCTCTCTGAGATGGATACGTGTGCCTTACAAGATGCCATTATTATTATTATTATTATTAATATTATTATTATTATCATAAATTGGGTAACATGTTTTCTGAATAAGGAGTTGTGAAGTATTTGTTCAATCAAAGTCAAAATCCTTTGATATGTTGTACCACTGATTTTTCTAATACACAAAAAGAGTTTTTGATGAAGAACTTGAAAAGGGTTTCCAGGTTTTTCCTCGAACACCATTTTTGTGTCTTAGAGAAATCAGTAGTATTAAACGTATGAATTTTATTTCCCTCCAGAGCCTGCCTTTACATAAAACATGTGATTTCATTATTACAATGTAATTTTTGTTAGGTTTATTTATTTCTTTTGGGCTGTGATTTAATCCTAAATAAAAAATAAAAAAATCCTAAATAAAAATTAAAATATAAATAAACACCATTAAATACCTTGTTGGTTTATAAAATTCTTGATGACACTAATGGCAGCCTCAGCAGAGTGAACCCTTAGCTTGGATTTTTTTTTATCCTTGGCTTTCGAACTTTGCCTCACCCAGGATCCAACACCAAACGAATCAGTAGATGAGACGCTGTTTGAGGACCATGATCTAAATCGTAACGTTTCTGAAGCAGAGCGCTCTAACTTCTTGCAGTTTTCAGAGAAGATATTCTTCAGTTGTTCTGCCCACATACCTGCTGCTTCCTGAAAACGCAGACAAAAGAAAATTAAGTTGTTAATTTGAAATTATAAACATGAGTAGGCGTTTAATTTTTTCCCCGTTAATATAATCAACTAGAATCTGTAGTAATCACATCTACATAAAAAAACTATATGAATCATGGCAGCAGATTAATCAACTTTTTTTATTTCAATGTTTAAGTTTAATAATTTCAATAATAATAATATTTCATAATTATAATTGTTCATTCTTATTGGGCATATAAGATATGGATGTCATGTTAAATAAATGAAAAACTTGATCAAAAAGGAAGGTCTTTAGTGTTTAATTGTATGTACATATAATATTACAGGATAATAAATGTAATAATCATGACAGGACCAAGAAATTATTGTGTTTCCCAGGCACATAGCCAATTTCAAATTAGGGTTGATTGGTCAGTCATGATTTTTTTTGTCTATAACTACAGGCCTAGACTGGACATTGTTATTGATCGAGTTACTAGTCCACATTTCAAGCGCCCTGAGCATCTTACATTAGATGGATTTTTGCGCTATATAAAACTACACTATTATATTATTATTATTATTATCTCATATATTTTGGTTTATAATGGACTAAAATCAATTTATCAAATGAATTATAGTTTGAAAACTACCATTCTAATACATCATACAAAAGCCGAACCTAAAATTTTGGCTGGTCCGTATTGGCAAACACACTTTTTTGGGCCTAATGATGACAAAAATAGTAATGAGAACAACGATGACAACAGCAACAGCCATGGCAACAATGGCGATGATGATAATGATGTTAATGAATAAAAAATGAACAGGGTGATACAATAACAATTAGAAGTCTGCATATAGTCTAAATAACAGACATACAATAAAAGTAGGTGCCTACTTTAGCATCGGCAGCTAAATCTCTTCCAGACTTTGGCCGTTGAATGACAGTTTCTGCAACTTTTAGCGCCTGTTCTACGATATCCTCTATTACAGAAGCTGCAGAGACAACACTGCCATTCTCACCAGGCTCACGGTCCTGCTCCTCCTGATTGCCATCATCACCATCATCAGCCTTGCTGGATGATGTCTCTGCCTCCTCAACACCATCCTTTGCAGGTATACTTTCTTGGTCTTCCTTGATACCATTAGATGCTATAAAGCAAATGACAACATTTTAGTACAAAATTAGGTTTCTATTTGTCGAGGAGCGGTGTTTTTTTTTTTACTGAAATCACCCCAAAGACAAGGCTTCAGGTCAGTTCAAGGTAAAGGGTTACTTAACTACATATTTATATGCCACAAAATGCTTGTACCTAGGGCTGAAACATAGCTTCAACCACAGCCTGTCAACAATGCAAGTTGGAATATCTGAGCATGGCTGGCCGAGATTGGTCAGCATGTGGTTTGAACACCTAACATCAAGTTCAGCAACCAGAATGAAAACCGCTGAGCCAAACCACCTTCACCAAGGGTAAGTTAAGATCTCTTTCTTTTATTCTTTGATTTTTGTTTTTGGAACATATCCTTTAGACCCAAGAGAGTTTTAAAATATAATTTATTTATGTTTTTTCACAACTTAAGTTCTATTAAATGCAATTGCAATATTTTGCCTAATAAACATTATTACTAATATATTTTTAATATTTAATATTATATCAGTTTTTAACATTGTTGTAGAGTATTATATACTATATTATATTTACTGTTTCTTTATAACAGGTGTGTAAATGTATTCCATATGGTTTGCCTTATGACAATACATGATATCTGAATCTGAAGGATGATCCCTATGGAGATAAAGAGGTAGCACATGGAACAAGGTTGTTATGAATTCAATGACCAAGAATATAGTATAAGAGAATTATGACTAAGATATCTAAGCTTACCTAAATATTTTACAAAAATATTACACTAGTTTTTATGTCCAATGTTAATATTGTAGATTAAATTCTTATTGATTTTTTATCACACATGTTGCATATTATGAACTTTTATTTGATATTGTAATTGTTACTTTATGGCCACACTCTTAAAAAAATTGAATAAAGAACTGTGTATAAATAGCAAAAATAATAACAATATAATTATTATGATGGTTATTTCTACTAATGAGATACACACAATATGCACATGAATATCCATGCATAAATATATACTCATACTGTATTGTTATTCACATAACTATAGGTTTATTGTAATTTATATTGTGTGCAACAGATATTAATCAAAACATATTATTTTCCCATTTTATAGTCAAATAAATTAAAATTTAATATATCCAATTATTGGGGTTGAGGGTTATTACCATAAGACACAATAATATACAAATGGCCAGCTTGAACCTTTGACCTTTTGATTAGAAGAGCTCAGTCTTTCCAATGCCAAATCATTTGATATATAATTTGACTTTATTCAGGAAGAATGCAAAATTGCTTATTTATGAAAAGATCAAAATCATCAACTTCTAATAAACCCAAATCCAAACTAATAGTTTTCACTAATTATGAGTAGAATGGCTTACTCAAGGAAAGAGAAATGAAAAATTGCCAAATTTGGACATTGATGCATAGGAGAGAATTTACTACTCCTTAATGGGTCTTCCTAGAGTGTCAGTCAAACTTAACAACTTACCTCACAGCAGGGTCAGGAATAGGTGGTGTCTAACAACCACATGATCTCCCACAAACACACCTGTTTACATATGTTTTTAACACTGTACTTTTTTTTGTGGGTATTTAGCTTTAATAGCCAAGAGGTGGGGGATCAGTGGAAAGGTCAATTGAGGGGCAACGCTCCAGAAAAATAATGATGCAGAGCATCACCGACAGCAGCAAAGGACAAGAAATCCAGTTGACGTCTAAGGTTCACTAAGCACTTTTTCACCATCATCATCCCTTTGTACAGTATGTGTACTTAATAGAGTATGAATGTCACTCCAAAAATTTACAAGGCCATTTGGAGTGACATTCATACTATTTCTACTTAAAACTTAGTGCACATCCTAATGGGTACTTAAGATATTAGATTCCATATGAAAATCAAAATAGAAAATATTTTCCCTTTTCTTTCTTCTGGTAATTTCCTAATTTGTTTGCATGGACTCTCAAATTAGCTGGTAATCAATTTAATAATAATGATGATAATAATAAAAATTTATAAAGCGCAAACATCACCACCAAAATTGGTGCTCTATTTAGGAATGTTTGTATTAACGAGAGCATCAATGATGCAATAGCCCACTTGACAATAGCTGGCAATGTTTAAGTGTTGTTAGTGAGTCGAGGTTGTGTGGAGTGTTGTTACATGCATTGAGCATAAAAAAAATGTTTAAAGTTATAGTAGTTGTATGCATCATCACAGACCTTTTTTGTTATGTTCACATAACAGTTAGAAAAGGTGTGATGTCGTGTACAGTGATATTAAAAGAAATATGGTTGTTGTAGGAGTTGTTGTGTACGTATGTTTTTGAAATATTTTGTACTATAATTATGAAGATATATATGTAGCGTTTTATGATTTAAGTAGACAGTTTGGTGAGGGAATGGAATTTGTTGCATAGAAGTATTTCATTGCGAAGAAATATATTTTTCCAAAGGCGCATT